TTATATTGAACCATTTTAGGATAAAAGTATCCATCATTTACAATTTCTAAGCATAAGTTATCATTGTTATCTTTAGCTTTCTAAATAATAGTGGATTTGCAATTCTACAATCCAAATGTTTCCTCCAAGATGTCTATTATATTGCTTTTCTATTTAGGTTGCAAGGAGAGCTTTTAATTCTGTTTTTGAGATAGGTTATTATTGATTTACTCAATTTAAACATTGAATTTTTATTCCAGCGCAGACAATTATGGTAATAGTTAATTCATACTATTGTTTAAAAAATTCAACATGGCAAAAACCCAGCGTGTTAAGTTTACTAGGATATTTTGTAAGGAAGGATCTTAAAGATTTTTTGCTTATTGATGGATCTCTATAAGTGCATTAAGTGCTTATGAGGGGGAGAATTATTCCATACCACAAAATTTATTTTAAAATTAATATAGAATTAAAACAAATTATTGACAACATAAAATAATCGCCAAGATATGCATTTATGATTAATCATTCATATGTTCAATTTATTACTTTCAAGTTTATATCTTTGGCATTGAATTACTGGAACTCACAGAGGGTTAAACCTGAGAAATTTATGTCAATTTGAACGAGTGAAACCATATTCTAATGCAGATTTCACTTAAAGCAAAGTTTTAACTTAATCAAGCTTGTATTTAAAATGACTCTCCCTTTTGACTGATATAAATACTATTTCTACAGGTTATAGATTATATTAATATATACATAAGTAAAAATTAACAATTAAAAAGCAATTAATAAAATTGAATTGATATTGGATATTTAATTGGCATTAAAAAAATCAATTATGTTTCTATTTCTAAAATACAACTACCTGTAGATTTAAATAATAATCGTAAATCATATCCTATATAATCAAAAAACTATCCTTTCAAGGCTAGCGCTCCTTATGCTTCTAAATTGGGTTTTTAGGATATTTTTAGAATGGTGGTATAAGTGAGAGCTAATACCACTTTCAGGAAATAGTTGAAGGGTTATCTTTATAACGGAATTTATGTTAAAATAGAATGATATCCTTTTTGTTATTCAAAGTTATAGAGAAGAACAATTTTTTTATGTTTTTAACATTATCCTTTGTGTATATGAATATCACAAAACCAATCTTGAGTAATTTCCCTAATTTCGTAATGAATAAATTTAATTGAACTAGTTGACGGAAATTATTGTTGTGTAGATATTAATTAATTTCTAAAAAAAATCAGCTTGAGGTAAGATTACATAGTTCTTATCTCAATGATTAATAACTGTTCCTTATATACAAAATTATTATTAAAAGTAGCTCCTTTGGATGTAATTCATATAGAACTTTAATTAAGATTATTTTTAGGGATGGATATAATTATGATCTCTAAATCTATAAGGGGTTAGAATACTTAATGATGATTAATACATCTTTTCAGTCTTTATTAATCTCTAATAGAGCAGAGTAATTTTAAAAATCATTCAACCCCAATGTTTTAACTTTGTTTCTTTTAAGATTATTAGTAAGATTAATTTTATTTTAAAATTCTTAAAATGTATCTTTCTTCTTATCTTTGTTATTAATTCTTATCATTACCTTTTTCTAAACTAAAGATCTAAATTTTACTAAACTATTAATAATCTTTATAACGACTAAACCTGTTTACTCTGTTTATATTATAAATTTAATAGTGTATTGTACGTCCATCTCAATATTATTCAAATATTTAAATACTAATAAAATTATAATTGTAATGTTTTTAATGAATATTCAAATTCACTTCTTTTGCTTTAAGTCCTCTAAAAAGAAACTTCCTTTGGATTTAAACAAAGGTTTTAAATCTAGCCCTTAATGATTAATGAATTATCCTTATAATTAAGTGAATAATTTATCAATTCATGTCTTAAAACTAATTAAAAATTCCTAATAAATAATATGAATGTCTTAATTTTATTATTATTATTCTATTTAACATAAAAAAAAATATAACTCAATCAGTCAGTTAAAAGCTTTGCAATTATTTTTTCCAATCTATTACATTAGTTTTTTGGTTATTGTATTTACTAATTATTATTGGAGATGCCTCTTAAATTTATTAAAAACTCTGAAATATGGAAATTGGAGTGGAAATTTATTATATGACGGTATGAAAGATTACATTGGTGGGTCCTACAGATTTTTGGGTATAGGTAGAACAGCTAATTAAAATTATTGGGGAGAAATTTGTAAATTGAATTTTAATTCATTTCTTCTATCTCGTTAAAGTAGTTATTGATAAAAATAGTTTAACCAAAGTTTCCATTGTTCATCCTACTGATAACCTTATTTGTATGCTTTGCTATAAGAAGTTCTAGAGGGGGATATCATATCTAAAAATTCGTTAGGTAAGCATTTAGGAAATACACAAACCTTCTTAAAGCTAGATTTATATAATTTTTATAGGCGTTGAAATATGTTTCTGTATTTCTAGGTTGGATTGAAGGACAAATATAGAGTATGTGTGGAAGGAGAAAAGTTTAGAATAATTAATATTTCTGCTTCCAGTTAAGTTTTTAAGAAACCCATAGAAAAAATTTAGAGTTTATTCTACTTTATCAAGCTATAGACTTATTTTTCCGTTGTTCAATATATTTATTCCGAGGTATTTATAAGATTTCACATTAGGAAAGCCTTGTATATTGTTATATTAACAGCGTTTATGATTTCGGATGAAAAAGATTCCACATTTTTTCTGGTGTAATCTAAGTTCATATTCTTCAGAAATTAAAACCAACTGTTATAAAAAGGATTGAATATTTCTATGAGCAATAATAATTACAATGTCGTCTGCAAATTCATAAAAAGTATAGTTAAAATTACAATTTTTTTTTAATGAAGCTAGAAAATCTTCAAGATATATATTAAAAAGTGCAGGAGAACACCATTTTAGAAGTAAAATGTAGTATTCATTTATGGGCAAATATAGTGGAGATTTGTATAGAGGTGATTGAGGAATTTTACTTCAATGCCATCCAAAATTGATTTAGCAGATAAAATGTT